GCTATCAATCAGAACCCCGGCCTAGTAAATTATGGTTTTATTAGTATTGAGCTGACCACTGCTGGGAGAGACCTTAAAACATTGAGAAGCTGGCCCACATCAGAGGCTAGAGAAAGGGAGGCAAATCTGTGTCGACCCCACTCCCCCCCAACATAATATGGAGTGATTGAAGTCTTGTTAGATCATGACATGTAGGGACTATAGCTCCCCTGTTGTCATAGCAAATTGCAGTGATTCATGGAATGAGGATAGAGCGAGGGCATAGAGCGGTGCACTCTGGGAAATGCAGTTTGAAACGAAGCAGTGACTAAATTGAGGAAAGTAGATCGGAGAGCAGCAGAAATGCAATTCCAGCGCTGCTGGGCCCTCATTCCCAGCCGGCTCTCTGAGGACTAACTCATTTAGGAGCGGCAGGGGAAACTCAATAGGACCAATTGAGAAAATAATATATTGAATCTGGTGGTTGAGTGGGCTGCTTGGGCACGGTGGAGGACTGCGGAGGTGAAGTGTGGGCTTTAGTGTCTGAAAACCCAAGTGTTGTTAAGCAACATACACACGTATGTGAATACATACACACACGCATTCCTTTCACTTAGCATATAGTATGTGTGGTTTTCACTTTTTAGTGGTTTTGCCCTGTGCTTGAGCTTAGTAATATGGACAGAGGACTGACTGTTAACTCTAGACAGATTGCAACCAGAAATACAGATCCTGACCCTGAAGAGAGGAGTATTTGGTTGATATAAGTGACTGTGAGAGAAGGGTATGATTGTAGAAAGTACCAAAGGGCATCCCTAATGTGTTGAAAACTGTCTGAAGGTCAAACGTAATAATGTAAAACCTTGTTGAGTGAAAATGGATTAAAAGTAGCTCATGATCAATGATCAATATGTTGTATTAGCTGTCTAACTAGTTAGTAAAGGTAGTGAACCTGCTAGCCAACAATGAGATAAACACAACCCAATAATCATTTAGCCATATGTTACATTCATTTGATTTTGAATTTAAAGACATTAATGGTTCCTAGATGATTACTCATAATATTTTGCTGATGATCTAACTTTTCCTCCAGCACCACCATAAAGCTGCCATTTGTGGATTTAAGATTGCCATTAAATTTGGCACACCTTCCAGGATGAGGATTTTTATTAATATTTTTGATAGGAATCAATTTTCCTCGAATTTTGACAGATCATCACAGATTACAATACCTCATATTCGTAACATTCACTGTCCCCTCTATTTTTAAACTGAAAACAGACAACAACCTAACAAACAAAACAAACAGACCTCCACAAACAGAGACAATTCTCCCCAGACTGCAGACAGTACTACCTTCTTCTACTACTAAAGAAAAAAATAAAACAATAATAAAACAATAGCAATAAAATTAAAATAATAATATAATAATAATAATAATAATAAAAATATGTTAATAATATTAATAATCACTATTATTATTATTATAATAATAGTGGTACTAAAATATCAAATAAATAATTAGATAAAAAATAGAAAGGGCTTGAGCATAGTTACAGTCCATTTCATCATGCCAGGTGCCAGTATAACTGTAATCATACATTTCCTTAATTATCAGGCCAGAAAGGTGCCCCAGACATCCGCAACATTTCATATTTCATTTTAACAAGACAATATACTTATTGTGTTTTTGGTTGGAGAACCAACAGTGGTGGAACAGTTAAACCTGATCAGGAGTTACTCTCACATACCTTGCTGTTGTGCTGATTTCCCATCTGTGTGATATTTTTGTGAAATTGAAGTTTTGCTAAGAACTCCTAAAAGACCTGGGCAACCACTTTGGGAAGCACTGGCATTAGATGAGGCTCTAGGTTGATGTGAGAAGCTAATGAAAGTGGGGTATCTAGCCAGCAGAGAGGTGAGTTGTGCCCAAGGCAGGATGCAGCAGCTTAAGGATTGTAATTACAGCATTATGGTGGAGGTTGACTGGATTAGGGCCACGGCAACAGGCTGAGACCAGGATTGAAGACCAGGAAATGGCCATGGACTAGACATTATTAGCCTTAGTTGACAGCTTAAGACCAGCCCTGCCAACACACTGCTTCTTCTCCCTCTCTACACTTAGTAGTCAAGGTCAGGCAGATGCTGATGCCCAGGCAAAAACACATTTGTGCATGAGTCTGCATTTACCACAAATGCATTTAAACACATGCACATGAATACAAGTATACACACACACACACACACACACACACATTTCATGTCTCGAAAAGACAAACAACAGCATTACCTTGAACACACAAGCACACAGGCATGTCTAGTGAGTCCAGTGGGAGCTGAGCAGCAGATGATCTTGACTGGGCTCAGTGTAAGTCACAGCGCTCTGCCCTCTCCCTCTGTCAACAGGATAATCCACTCTGAAAATGACTAGATTAAGACAGATTAAACACATGATGAGGTGATGAGAACCGGTGTTAAGAAAGCACTAAAATCTCAACACAGACACTGAAAAACTTAAATGAACACATCCACTTTTGGACAAGTAAGCTCCTTGATCAACTTACTGCTGCTCTTGTTGGGTTTCAGCAGTCTGATACCACAAAGCTTTTTCTTTTTCCTTGGATGTTTTTGTTGATGTTTATTTTTTTCTGGTTGGCACTTTTTGTGTTTTGAGGCAACTGTGATGAATAATGCTCATGTTGACTTATCCAAATCTTCTGCTCATTGCACTACTTTATTAACCTGCTGCCTCTGCTGCAGGAATGGCAAAGTGCATCTGTTCCTAGGCATCAGAACATATTTAATCAGAATAGACCTGAATGTTGAATCACTACTTTGATACTAAATATCAGGTGACAGCAGAGAGTGCAGATTTTACATGAGAAAGTCACAGCTTGTCATGCGGTAGTCAGTAAACCTTCACAAGTCAGTAAACATGAACGGTGTGCTAGAGCATTAGCATGCACAGAAGCGGACTTAATTAATATTGGATACACAAAGATTCAATTGCTGCCATTTTGCCTCTGTATTAAGTTGATTCTAAAGTCTATTTGCCATAAAAGCCAATGAATACTTTTAAAATAAGCCTGTTCAAAAGAGATAGACAGACAGAAATATTGTTGTCTTTCTGAGATCTATTCCTCTTGACACATACTATACATAGCTTTCATATCATTTGAGTCTCAGCTGCTCGCTCTCTGTTCCACTCTGTCCACACATTTTCCTAGCTCTTACCTAATACCCTCCATCTTACTTCTTTTTGGCCCATGACAAATGACAAGTCTCCAGATCTGAAAGAGATTAAAAAGTGCAGAGAGGGGTTGAGTAAAAGAGAGAGAAGTGAGTAAAATAAATCTTCATTTCGACAATTTGAACCTTATTGAGTCTGAATCATCCAGGGACATGCTTTTTATTATAAGGCTGGCAGTGGCCGTGGCTCCAATTGTAATTGTGTTGACCCAGCCCCCCATTTCACTCTCTCACACACACACACACACACACACACAGCCTCTTTCCCTCCTCGCAACTCGCTCTTATCAACACGCTGTTCCGATAAAGTCCTGCGCTCTCAACCTCATTAAACCTCTCATTTATATTAAACAGCCGATAAGTCCCTATACCCTGGTATGTGTCTCCCAGGGCACTCTACTCCCACGAGAAGGCGACTTGGCAGCACCCGCACGCATCCCCACAATCCTCCTTTTTCTTGGTATTCCTACCATTTGTTTACCAAAAGCTCCCCACCACCTCCTCTTCTTCTCCTCTCCTCCTCTTCCTCCTGCTGTCCTGTCTTCCTGCTGCAGTTGTTGTCTGATATTTTACTCCCCTTTCTCTTGGCCGGAAGCCAGCCAGAGTGTTGTGAGACATCAATATTAGCCAGGGCCTCCTGGTTTAAAGCATGCTTGAGGTACAGAGTTGAACTGTGCAAGACTATCTAGCTGTGAGGGAGCTATCTGTAATAGGTCCTGTACAGGGAGTTCAGTGCATTCCTGCGGCTGCCCACAGGCTCCTATGGAGCATTGTGGGAAATAAGGCCAAGGACCGAGCTTTATTTTGTAACTCTCTGCACGTGGATGTGAGATTTTTCTGCTCTCTACTTCCTGACTCTTGCTGTGGTAGCTCCATTCTCTTTATCCTAAAAATACCACATTTGACAGACTATTGGAAGACTGGACACAGTATCTGGGCCCAGTGGTCCCACACCCAAAGTCTAACCACTAACCGTGTCCCCCTGTCAAGACTGACACATGCACTGAGTGTACAGTTGGCTCAATAACCAGCAGTGCGGCATATCGACCACATGGCAAATGTCACTGGTCCATTTACTGGTGCTCATTGTTAGAGACAGCTGTCTATTGGCCTATGGGAAATCCATGGAGCTTTATCCAGCTCCAACTACTACAGGAGCCGTTTCACACTGCTGAGCCAGAAAATACCGACGTAAGCCTAGATGGACGCTGAATCCCCGGTTCGATGTTACTGGAGTATTGATGGCGTCACATTAGGAGCCATATTATGCAGACCCATTTCTTCTTCTGGGTGAATCTGCTTGTGTGCGCATAGTTTATACGATACATATATACTATACAAATAATCAATAAATGAATTCTTCCAGTGAGCCAAGATAACTATTTATTATCAATGCAGAACAATTTTTCAACATGACATTATTGATTATTTCAATGGCACAATACACAATCCAAATGTAAACAAACAGTTTACTGTTCTTTTGATATACAGAATACAGTAAGCAAGATAATAGCTAAATATAAGGTAATAATGTACTTTAATGCTGTGAAATTTTGTAGTAAAGCATTTAGTAGTAGTAGTAGTATCGTAGTTAATGTCAGTTGAGAAGCAAAGGAATTGCTTTTCTGCAAACTTTCTGTTGCAAATGTGACTATACCTCAAATGTTTATGGTGATACTTTTATATATTGGCCCTTTAAGGGAAATAACATTTTATCAGACTAAATGTGTAAACCCCATGCCTACTATTCATCTCTTTCCCGGTCTCTGTAGGAAGCCCCTGGCAGCCCACCAGTTTTAGAGCATCCTGTGAATTCTCCACTGGACAACCATGAGCGCCGGATTTCCCACTTGTATGAAACCATCGAAGGCTTGGACAACATCTCCACACCGCTGACTAATATGATGGGACGCATTGGTGAGTCATGTATCAGCAATGTTCTTTCACCCTCCCTCTCAGCACATTTGTGGCTCTTTTAACCTCTTTTAGAAAAAAGGACTCAACAAATAGGATTTTTTGGGCCGGTCACAACCCCATTCACATTGATAGGAAGTGTGGTTGATCTGCTAACCTCATGCTCATTGGATGTATTTTTCCCTTGAATTGATCCTGTCTATTAACTGACATTCCCTGATCAATTTTAACATCCACCCCACTTCTGAAGTGTCTCTGATAGCTCCCCCAACCTGCATCACTTTCAGAGCCTCACGAAGGGGGGCTTCGTTGTCCTGCATTTCGCAAATTCACTATTCAAAATCTCTCTGGGATTAACGTCATCCCCAATCCTCACTGCCTTCACTCTACTCCCGACTAGCTTCACTCGGGTCAATTCCCATTCCACCCAGCTGACATCAGCGAGCTAAGATCTCGTCTCTTCAGGTGTATTAGAATTGGCAATTCAATCCTCGACCAGCCGCTGCTGTCATCTCAACATCGACGGACCTTTCACATGTGCATACACACAGACGCTGAAGCTGATTGCATCAGTGTCGGGAGGGCGTGTTTGTGGGGGATGATGCAGTGTAGTTGCATGAATCCACACCCATTTTCTCAACACATGCAGAGTCTTACCTTCCCATCCCCTTCCCATTATTTCGTCTCC